GAAATATCCTCGACTAGATGAGCGACCACTACCTTCTCCCTGGAATTTAACGAAATGTGCCACATGAAATGGTGGCAGGGGAAATGTTAAGTTCAAATCGTTGTTATTAAATGTCGTTTTTGTCTTTTGCAGGTATCGCGTGGAGCTTTCGGTTCCCATCTCTGAGCTCTCTGTCACGCCGCAAGATGCCTTTGTCACCGAGGCCTCATCTTGACGTCCGCCAGTGGCTCAACGTCCTAGACCTCGGCCAATACGCGAGCGTGTTTGAAAAGTTCGAAGGAGTCGAGGTGAGCCATGATTGACAACGCACCCGGTAATAACGACAATTACATTCTTCTCCTGACTTATCATCACGCTTGCTTGTTTGTTTAACTTAGAACTTACCACCATCCACCAGTGCTTTTCGCCATTGCGTTCAAAAGCCTTTCGTAATAGTTAAACACACTTGTTTGCCTGTTCTATCATCTTTCAAATGGCGACAGGCGCAATAAGTAATAGATAGCATATGTCGTTTTACATCCTTATCGTAAAGACCAAACAGAACGGTGAAAATTGTCTGTTATTCAAAGAAACTCTAGCTTGATGGGTTGAATGATAACACACAATTATAAGTTTAAGTAAATCCAGACTGACAACAACTACAAAAACGACCTGATATGCGATCAGTTTCTGGTTTATAGTTGGAGAGCCAACATATAACCAGAATTGTTAATGTTAACAGGCGCGTGAAAGTAAAATTCTCGCAGTCAAAGTTAATTTCTGTTAATACCTTAAATGCTTATATAACGAGATCAACCATTTAAAGGGTAGTCACAAGATATTTTACCCTGACGGTTTGTCAGTCAGTCGGCTTTGACATTTAGCCTTCTTTAGGGCTCTTGACCACGTTTTAATTCTCAAGTCTTACCATTGCAGAATTAATCGTTTCAGTGATTATTCAGGCAAACACATGAAACCCTCAAAGGGATTATATGAGCTATACGCCGAGTACTTGTAGTTGCTGTAATGAGGTGAGACTATGTGCAGATGATAGATAAATGGATGTGGAACAGCGGTGGAATGATAATGACAGGGGAAAATATAAGGACTCGGAAGAAAATCCGTCCTTGTCCCATATGGACTACCCTGGGCCTGGATCTGAGCCTCCGTGGTAAGAAGCAGGTGGCTAATTGCCTGAGCTATCGCATTTCCTTAAAAACCGAGCTATTTTGAACCTTAAATCAGTTGGCGCACACTACTATATATATGATTAAACCATAAGCTACTTCTTTCTTCTGTAATTATGTGTCATGTGCACTGATGCAAACTAAGACTCAATTGACTCGTATACAATCCATGCATCTGCACAGGGTTTAAAATGTTCACCAATAACAGTCAATCAAATCAGCAATTTGCTTTTACCCTTTGAAGCCGAGACTCGTCTAAGTAATATTTGAGAATCCAGTTCGTACTGCGAAGAAAACACCGCACTGTTACAAAGATAAACTTGTTAGTCTTGTTTAAGGAAAGAAACCCTGCTTATTATGATAATCATATGGAATCCAACAGTATGAAATGAAAAGTTATTGATTGTTGAAGCAGGTTGGATTTTAAGGATTAAATATGAAAGCAGAAATAAACTGCATGCCTGTTGCGAACAGGTGAATAGAGTTCCGGGATTCTTAAAATGTTTTATTAAATGTGTCGTACAGGATCTGCTGACATTCACGGAAGCGGATATCAAGGACTTGGGCGTGAAGAACTCGGCACATCGGGCAAGAGTGGTCTCCAGCCTAGTAGCACTTCGCACCAAGCATGAAAAAGGTAGGTCTACAGCTTACGTTTACCAATGCTTCTTTTGTCGACATCAGGTTATCTTTCACTGTTTACTAAAGAATAATTAACGAGAAGATTACTGTCTTGTGGGACGTTGCGCCGTGTAATCTGCCAGAAGTTTTCCGACGTTTCAGAGGGGATGATCGCCTAGATGATGGAGACAGCAAGTATCCCTTGAACGTCGGAAAACATCTGGCAGATTACATGGCGCAACATCCCAGAAGACAATCATCTTCAAATTCGATGCCGTGAGAACCTAACAGCTCTCCAATAACTGGCATGTTTTGAAACGTCCCACGCAAGTTGTAACGCTTGGCTCGTATGTGGAAACAAAAAGTTAAGAATCGTTTCCATGACTTCAAGTAGGAGAATTCCTTCAAATGGGTTTGCATGCGAACAAAAAGTTATCACTGTACGTAGTAACCAAACGTCGCTGCCGAGTGGTTAATACTCCTGCACATATTCTGGAAAACCCGGGTTCAGTCTAGGCCCATATACCGGTTATCCTGACAGGTTCTTCGAGGTATTCCTCAGTCCATCCAGGCAAATGCCGAGCAGAACCCCAGATTAAACCACAACTGCTGGGATAGTACCTTAAACCAGGCCTCTACCGTTTCCTTTCACATCCTTTCCAATCATTAATGATATAATAATTCGACGTTATATAATCTGAACTACTGACAGGATTTTAACTTAGCACGAAATAGGAATTCCGAATAGAGACATTCTCAATACTGACTCAGTTATTTTATGGAGCTGTGAAATAGGCACGAGAGAAGGTTCCTGTTTCAAAACTTTGTTCGAGTCATTGTCATCATCTCGAGGGTCGGACTACAGTAAAAACCCGCACCAGGATGTCTGACGCTACGAGTCGAATCTAGTTTTTGTGAACCTGCTGCAGTTCTGGAGTGGGGTCACGTCAGAGATTACTACGTCACGGTGGTTTCACAGCATCTAAAGAAAATTTATGTCACGTGGTAATAAATATTACGAGAAGTCAGAAACAGGAGCAGGAATTTTCTGGATAAGGTGTTGTTACGTCAATATTCCTTTTGAGAAATAATAAATTCCTTTAAGAACAAAGAGAAATTTCTTTTACTTTTCAAAAAAGGGGGGGAGGTGGTTCTGAAAAATTGAAAGATGAAACTAAACAAAGGACCGTGTCACGAAATGTAAAAAAAAGAAGTAAGGTCGTTTTAAAAACAAAACCTAATCACATGCGTCAAAATATAAATACCGGTACTTGTTTTATTGTAAGAATAAGTACGTAAATATTAGTTATTCATTCTTTTTCTTAGGTTTTCGCGGCTGGAGTTCAATATATCACTTCGGCATTAGGAGATGAGCCGCGTTGATTATTACAATTATCCAACGTTTCGTTAAACACTGCATGTGTATTTGTGCGTGTTTGAAGCCTTATATAGGGATGATAGGTGGCGGCCCGGTCTTCCACTTCAGTGGTCAGCACCATCAAATTTAACTAGCAACCTACTGCCTGCAGCGTTCGGTTTAACAAGTCGTTCTGCTTTTCTACATCCTCAGCGTCAAGACAGGATACAAATATGATTCCAGCAGACACAACCCACTGGCAAGCAATCAATAACTGCGCTTCATACCTGAACACCTTTCAAAAGCTACCATTTTTATTTTTCAATTTCCGTAAAACACCGTAGTGATTTGATGTTGGAAATGAAGGATCGAATTTTAACTCTTTTCTAAATGGCAAGCGCCCACGTTTGTAAGTGCAGGAGAGAAACAGAATATAACAAATTTTCCACTTTCTTTCTTATCGCGGTTCCAGAATGCGAGGGAGCATTCGGACACGACACAGAAACGGAGGGATGCTTTGTGTTGGGGGCCGTGCGAAGGAGTGAATGGGGGATGGAAGAGAGAAGGGCACAGAAATATGAGCGATATATGTGTTATAAATGAGACGAATGACAATAAAAAATATTGTGACGGTTTCCGGGAATTAATTTCTACTACGAATATTGGGCGTTTAAAACTAATAAAGTGTTATAGTTTCAGTATTATTAGAAGGAAGATAGAAACTAAAATCATCACTTACTAGAAATTTTAAATGTAATTTAATTTCTGTTAGTATATGTGCGTAAGCGCGTACACTTCAGTGGCCAAAGGCTATTTGCCTTTCAAACCCACCACAGGTCTCTGTCCTGAGACAGATGAATCTTTTCTACGCGGTCATGTCACATTTCTTTAAGAAATTTTACTGACATTCTTTGTTACTTTCACTGAATCCGGTTATTTAATTGTGAGACGTCCTAGTGGGAAAGACGTTCTTACCTTCCAACCCTGAATCCCTCACCGTTAGGTTTATAGTGGACAAAAACAAAGAAAGTTTGCACTGGGATTGGAGGGGCCAGAAATAGGTTTATAGATGGCAAAACCAAAAACAAAAAGTTTGCACTCGTACTGAAGGGGCCAGAAATAGCTTATCCCGCACGACTGGAACCGGGTGATATTCCTCATATGGACTCGTAGCTGCAAGGCTGCGGGCAACTGGCCCTCCCTGTCTATCACATCCAAAACGAAAGTCAGCCCCATGCTGTGACGACAACAGGACACACACAGTAAGAAAAATAGACCCGCTATAAAACACATAATATCATCATCAACGCAGCATGACAATACAATGTTTTACTACAAGATGCAACGGAAATGACGTCATTCTTTAGCACATTTTGACGTGCGGGAGGGTGTTAAGCTCCGGGTTCATTAATGACAACAGCAACATATGTTGTCTGACAGACGGAGCTATACAGTTTCACGTCGGTCTAATTCGGATCCTCCCATTGCAAACACTGTTTTGTCACTGTGGTACACAAACAGAACTTTGTTTACATTTTGTTTGTAGTATTTAACGTCGCTGTCAGTATGTATGATGGGATGGGGAGTACTGAGAAAAACCACACAAACTTGAAAACGGACAGTAGTTCTCCACACAGCTGATTTTGTTATCAAGACGTTGTTAATTTTCAAGCAGTTTTGATTTGAAGCCATTTTTAATTTATAAAATTCAGTTTACTGCAGTAATTTCCTTATTGTTTTGTTAAATTTCACATGGTATGAGTAACGGAACAATGTAGTTTTGAGCAACAACGCAATTGTAATGTTATATGCCTACAGCTACAAAACTGTTATTTGTGTAATTTAAATATTATTTTACACGTGTTTGCCCATACACCCAGATAATATCGTATATATATATATATGTATCAGTTTTCTCCTCAGTAGCCAAAAATGAAAGCCCATCTCGCATTGGTTCCTTCCCAAATCACGTGATGGGCTGCATAAAAATGTTTCGAGGGTCATATACGGCCAGCGGGCAACAAGGTTGCCGACCCCTAACAAACAGCATTGCCCCACACCAATAAAACTAATACAACACTTTCCCAAATGTAGATCGATTACAAAAAAGACAGCCTTATATACCACGGTATGAAGTAAATGGGTTATAAGTCCACCCCTGCATTGCGAAGGCCAACAACTTTGTTTTCCTAGCACTTGGCGGGTTGGTGAGGAAGTAACACTAGATTTGTAACTGGGAGGTTCAAGATTTGAGTTCTTCCCTGTTTCCACGTCCTTATGCAACCCGAAGGTTCATTGCCGTGTTTACAAGAACACGCCACTGCACCCTCTCCTGAGCCAAATGAATCCAGTTCACACTTTCATATTCTATTCTAAGATCCATTTTGATATTGTCCTTCCATTACAGCGAAGTTTTAGTTTTCTGACTAAACTTTTGTGCACATTTATCACGTGTTTCATGCATGCTACATGTCCCACCCATCTCACCTTCCTTCATTTGAGTGTAAACAGTGATTACTCCCTTAACAACTGATATTTACAAAGGTGAACTCTTTTCTTTATGGTACGATCTGAATTCCTAAATACTATTAAAACTATTACGTTATCAGTAATTAGGTTCGCTCATAAGTCAAATAATTGTAAATATAATGTTCTGCTTATGTCTGTTGTTTCAGGAAACAAGAAGCTCGAGAAACCTCAACGGCACAGTGTCGCCGTGGATAGCGGGCGATTGATAAATCAACGCGGAAAGTAAGTTTGATGACTTTGTAATTACATTCGGGAACATAGGGGTTTTACGATTTATTTTACTATATTACAAACCGAATGCTTCCCCGTGTTGGTCTTGGTGTTGTAACGCCGTGTGGACTCACAGGTAGATACCAGAGGATCACACAGCCTCCATCTTCAGCCCTGAAGATGTAGGCAGTAAGTATTTTCCTCCGAAACTTTCGTATCTACCAACCAGTCCACAAGGAGTTGCAACCCAGAAGACCAACATCAACATCAACATCTTCACAGCCGTAAGAACCCAAAATCTCATAATGTAATATCGCATTACCGTCATGTTTTACTAATTATACAGCTTCCTGATTTGAATTAATTTTTACGAATAATTAACGGTTTATTTCTTAGAGAGGCTTACAGAAAAAAACAGTATTTGACTGTTCATTCCTAATTCTCTTCATGATTCTTTCTTTGTTGAAAATTCTTTGTTGCACATAAGTAATGATCTCCAAGAAGATTTGCTCCAAAACCTAATGATCACACACAGACGGATTGGTATGTAATAATTATCAACATAGGTACAATGTTTCTTTCGACAGTGAAGTTCCTCATAACAGACGGGAGTAATGTGTTAACTTCGTTGGGTGTGAAAACAAGATGGAATCAGCCACGACCTGTTTTAGACTGTAATGACGACAGTAATTTCATATATATCATCTTTGCTGTCATCGACATGAACTGTTTTGGTTTTATAGTACATTTGGTTTTACATTCGTATTTTACAGGCCTTTGTATCATGTTAAGAGTATAACACGAAACCTGAGAGAGACGTATGAATTGGAAAACGTGTTTGTCTGCTGGGGACGGCTTTAAAGAGCGTACGTCAGCCGATTCTTAATAAAATGTCAACAGACTGGTAAAGTGGAAGATGGCAGCGTATTAAGCTGGGAGGAGTCTGTAGGAAGTCAAAGTCTGATTGATCAGACTCGCTACATGGTGCATAGTTGTTCTTGAGAAGCCATTAATCACTCTGATAGTCAATACATTGCTCCCCTTTTACTGAATCAGAACATCTGTACTGTCCGGGACAGCTCTTTAGCTCTGGATGGAATGCGGATACTCTGATGTCGATAGTGGCAAAGGGAAAGAAATATGTCTACTATTCAGAATGAAAGTATTGACCGAATTCGGTCGTGCACCGCTTGAAATTCAACAGCATCAACATGCTTTCCTTCAGTGTTTCAGTTTTTTTCCGAATGGGGATATAATTCACCGAGGGCTGATCCTCTTCGCGCCATAGAGCACATGTTGGCCGCCGGCTTCTCGCGGCGGAGGCAAATTTTCAAGGCGGATATTAGTTACGTACATCAGCTACGCTGTGGCTTCCAGATTGGCTCTGTCGCGTTTCTTTATTCCACCGCCATTCCCCTCGTACCACGTCACGCAGGGCTAAAGGACTCAGACTCGAACAGTAATGTATCCACAAAAATCCTACACAGATGCCTCTCCTGAGTCGAAAGAATCCAACTAATATCCTAAAATATAAAGATCCGTTTTAATATTATCTCCATCAAAGCACAGCAGGTCCTCATGGGTACTGCATGCTCCGTCTACCTCATCCTATTGTATTTTAACACCCTAATGAAATGTTCTGATACTAACGTAACAATATTTTACTTCTTGTCTTAATTCTTCCTGGCCCTTCTTCACATAATAAACAAAGCAAAATAAGATAAATACGCAAAGAATGGATCAATGGATCAATAAGCATCTGAAATTCTGATTAAGTAAAGCTAGACTTTCACACAGCAACACAAACTGCACTCATGGGGGAAAGAAAGGGCTTAGGTGTTTTACTTCTGGTTTGTGACAAGAGATAAGATATGCCTGGCAAGCCCCCAAGAAGAACATCGTTTCAACACACAATGGTTTGCTTTCCCTAATCGATTTATATTTCGTCCTGTCATGGACCACGTTCACCATTAACGTCGCAATAGAGGGCATTGTCCACACTGTAACAGATAACGACCACTGCTCGCATAAGCGAAGTGCCTGACATTGAGTGTCTGAAACCAGCTGTGAACTGGCTTGTGACATACTACGAAATAATATCATTGCATGAGGTATCCATTTTCAGGGCGACCTGAAGATGAAGGCAGTACGTTCTTACGAAACGTTGGTATCCGCTTACAAGTCCACACGACATTAGTTCGGTCTTTAATTGATATCCAGTTTGTGACCCGCGTTATTTGATTACGTGCATTCACGGCTTTTAATTTGTGTACACACTGGAGAATTCGTTGACTTAAAGACCAAGAGATTTGCTTTTACTTCGGACACGGTTATAATGGTGTCCGAAACCTCCAGGTTAACGTTGCTATGTGTCATTCTGTGACCCCTTTTTACATTATATGTCTGACTTTATTATTCCTACTTATAGTTGTGTTTAGTGCGGTAACACGGAGCTTAGCCTCTGATGAGTATTAACAGAGTTCACTGTTTTCCGAACTCTCATTTCCTATTAGGCCTCTCGACTGCCAACAATCATGCCTTTTTTCGCTAACTCTACCGGCGCACGTAGTGGCGTATTACAGTAGGCTTCCAATAATTTTGTTGTAACCTTGAGGCACACAATTTAGTAACGACTATTGAAATACTCTTATCTCACCTGTCGCTTAACTTGGATGCCGTCGCTTGTGTTGTAACTCAAATGTTTCACTGATCTGTTCTCACAGAAATATCGGAATGAAGATTTCTGTCTTCTGAGTTATTGCGCCGTGTATGGTCGATGTTTACCAACGTTTCAGAGGTCATACTGCCTCCGTCATTCATCGCCCTGATGACGGAGGCAGTATGACCTCTGAAACGTTGGTAAACATCGACCATACACGGCGCAATAACTCAGAAGACAGAAATCTTCATTCCGATATTTCTGTGAGAACAGATCAGTGAAACATTTGAGTTACAACACAACATCGACCAGACTACACAGCGCAACAACCCAGAAGACAGAAATCTTCATCGCCCTGATGACGGAGGCAGTATGACCTCTGAAAAGTTGGTAAACATCAACCAGACTACACAGCGCAACAACCCAGAAGACAGAAATCTTCATACTCATCGCCCTGATGATGGAGGCAGTATGACCTCTGAAATGTTGGTAAACATTCGACCAGACTACACAGCACAACAACCCAGAAGACAGAGATCTTCATACTCATCGCCCTGATGACGGAGGCAGTATGACCTCTGAAACGTTGGTTAACATCGACCAGACTACACAGCGCAACAACCCAGAAGACGGAAATCTTCATACTCACCGCTGTGAAAACCTCAAATCTTACAAATATCGGAATATTTTCATGGATTTCACCAATGTTTCTCCCAAGCCCTCACGTCCCAGTGCTGTGGCTGCAGACATAATCCCTAACGACACCGTCGCGCTGGGAAGGGTCGTCTGTGCCACCAACAATCTATATAAGGTACTTAAGGGAATATGGCCAATGCAGTAAATATGGAAAGTAGCTGACATGTTCATAAGTTCACAGACTGTCAACAGAAATCAACATCAATAGGTCACATCATCAAATTGTCTCTGGTGAGACAGTAGCCAACTGCGAGGCGCTGCGTATTGTCAGACGCCATTTAAGTATCAGAAAAACACAGGTAACGACGTGCGTCTAACTTTCAGGACCTGAGTATTTTGTTCAGTCAGAAATTTGAAGTAACTACCTGCACTTTCATGCAGTATAACTGGATGTTATGTCTTTCTTTGTAAGATCTCCTTTTGACAGAGATGTAAAAATATATGCCAAGTGCAGGTTATTTGGCCAACGTTATTGGTTACAAAGTTTCTTTGCTCGGAATTCAAAAATTTCAGTAAAGAAGTAAAACAAATTGTCTCACACGCTCTCTATGTAAATCGATCGATTGTCATCTATTATTTTGACAAAATGAAAGAATTGCTCATGCAATTTTGTAGCTAAGTCCTATAGTGGCTGCGTATATTGCTTTTTTTTTTTTTAAAAAAAAAAAGTGTTATACGGTGGGAAAAGGAAGCTTAGCATGGCCATATTCCCTTCAATTACCTTGGTTGGTATTGCTTCGTGGGAGGGTGATGCACTGTAGGTCCGATCCCCGTAACAATAGCTTATCGTCTGATAGACCCCCCTTCCCCCCCACCACCTTCCCCTCATTTCACTCCCTCCCTGTCCTAAGTATTGTATTCCCGTGAGACATGTGTTACAACTACTACTATACGAAGAAGGGCGAACTCATAGCACACAAATGGGTTGAGTTTACTGACAGTTAAGTATTTGTCTGTCTGGATTGTCTGCAGTCCAAATGCCTGCCTACGATTAGTTTTAGATTGAGCGACCCTCTCTGACAGCTGTACTGTTTATTGCGTTTAGTATAATTATATGTTTGCCGAAGAGTCGTCATACTCGGCCGCTGCCCCGTCAACCGACGTGCCCATCCGTCGGTCTTTCACTTTTCGTTGCATCATAATGGCTGCTGCTAGTCAGCTGAGCCACATCTCACAGCATACGAGATAAATTCCGGGTTAAGCAACAGAGTGGGAGACCAACCAATTACTGAGTCTGATTCAGGAGCCAAGGCAGAGTCTTCAGATTTTTTATCTTCTGTTTGACCACAAGTGTTTTCCCGCTTTTGAACAGTTCGAAACAACCACAGCCGTAGTCGCCGACACAAAACAAAAGAATAATGTCTAACAATCAACTAGCGCATGCGCCTTTGTTACAAATATCGACCCTGACAGACAAAACACAATCTGTATGAGGGTAGTGGAAGTGGTAGAGGAGGTTCGGGTGCGGAATTCAGAGAGCTGCGTAGTGTAACTTGCGCACACGTCGACTAAAAATCAATAGGACAACCAAGCAGCACAGAATCCAGGCAATGGAAACGAGAATTTCTGAGGGGGTGAAAATCAAAGAGACGGCAGGGGGCAACAGAGTGAAATTGTAGTTGGTGCAATAGCCAGAATAGCGGGCACATCTTCGTTT